GCAGACAGATCCATGTATATTTAATCCACTGTTCGCTTATACAGTCTAAATGTTGTAATTCCTACGCAAAAGGACCTGGCTTTGTAAATACATCCACTGCATTTAAAGATGCATGACTTCATCCTGCAAATATTAGAACGCTCTAAAAAAAATCCTCATATTCATGTCTTCATAGTGAAAACCCAGTGCAGCCTGTAGCCTGTAGCTTAAATTTATATTGTGGATTATTATGATCTGTTGATGTCACGCACATTATTCAGAGGATGGTGTTCAGAAAAACATGCAGACTCACCTGTGTGTCTGGCTCAGTTTTTAGAAGATGTAAGCCGACAAATGTCTCTCCTCTTTTTGGTGCTCCACCTATCTTCTTCGTTTACACTCTTTCCCTCCTCCACATTCACTCTTCAACCTGCTTTCCTCCTCAGTGCTCTCGTGCACTTTCAGTCGCTCTCCTCCACCGCCACTCCTTGCAGCTCTTCATGTCTCAGCTGAACAGCACAGGATTGTCTACATCATTGGCTTCTTTCTATTAGCCCTGCCTCTGCACCATTCGTTAGCTGGTCTGTCACAGTTTCACCGTCCTGCCTACTGTGCAGCTCAAAGCAACAGAAGCTCCCGCCTACACAATGAATCATTCATGAATCAGTGTCTGTTTTCAGCTTTGATTGGTGAATGCCGAGTCCAGACCTCAGTCAGTCTCTGAGGGGAGCAGCATTATTGGACTCCAGCAGAGAATAAGACCAGCTGGCCGGACTTCAAGTCAAACTAAATCAGATTGGCTTGATATATGACTTGTGTAGTATTTTAATGTTGCAAACATTTAAATCTGCCACATTTTTGCACTGCGTGACGTGTTTCTGTGTTACCCAAAATACATACCCTGCAGCTGTAAATACTCACTAGCTTCCTGGAGTGTTACTTTGTATCTGGAAGTAGTCCCCAGCATTAACTCTCGTATGAGTCAGGTTTGCTTAAAACCTGAATTAGCCTCAATGTCATTGTGTTCCTTTGACCTGTTTCAGATGATAGCGTCTTCAATAGGAACAAATGAAGGCTGACAGGCAAAATAGAGAGTGGCAAACAAATGCACTGTTTGCTTCTGTCTTTTCACTGAATATTGACAATAAGAAAATGTCAAATAATGAATGCAGTTAGGATTTTAATGACCTCATTAAACACTCGCTGCTCATTTGACAGGAGCTGACATGACAGTAGTCAATTATCTGAAATACATTTTCAGCAAAGTGTTCTTGCACAAATATGTCAGTCCATGTAGTTCTCAAATCTCACTGTACATTCAGTCTTGCGATAATAAATTGGTTAAACTTAAATGTTGTTGTTTTTTTCCACAGAATCTAATGGCAGCTTCAACATTAAGACGAGCTCTGGGTACAAGTTTGGTTGCCTGGCCAAGATAGTAAATTACATGAAGGTAATGAGGATTTTGAGGGGGACATTAAAACCTTTTTTTTCAGCAGCACCAACACAATTAAGATTTTATCTTTTCACCAAACTGTTTAATAATAAAGCTTGACATTTGTCTGTTGTGAAACATGAGTGAGTCATTTGTGCCCGCTGGGTTAACATTTGGTCCCCAGTCTTTCTTTTGGTATGTTAACAGCTTGTTTATCATGCTGTGGCTCTGCAAACAGGCAGCCAGGCCTTGTCACACTAGCTGTTTGACTCATTCCTCGGTGAAGAACTCACACTCAGATTGACAGATTTTCCTGTTAAATGTGTGCATTTGTGCCACCTGTTGAATGCACAGTTCTGAATCCTATAAAATTACTGTAGATATTTGCCTAAAATCTTCTCCATGGTGCAGAAAATAAGAGAGCTGTGAATATTGTTTTGTGTGTGTGTTTACCTAATGTCTGCTTTTCTGTCCTTAATCTCTCAGACGAGGCATCAGAATGGGGACACGCACTTCCTGACCTTAGATGAGATTCTTGATGAGACCAAACTTCTTGACATAAGCATGAAGCAGAAACAGTGGCTCATGAATGAGGTGCTTTTGTGCTATTTTTAATGCCATACCTCTATCTTTTATTGTCAGTAGTACTAAGGTCAATTGCGTTTTCTCTGAGCAATTTCTTTTACGAGTCTCACCTTAAATCTACACAATACTTGTTTTTTCCCCTCAAGCTAATTTGTAAGTTATTCTCATCCAAACATATTCGGTATGTTGCAAAAGAAAAAAGCCATTGAAAGTAAGTGATGAGAAATTAAGCTGATAATACATCATATGACATTAAGCCATCTTTTTACATTGGAAGGCTACACTTACCGAAGAAGAAAAAGCTACTGTACTATTTGTTTAGTCTTTTCAAGGTGTCAGTTTTTATTATATTTTGTTTTTTATTGGAGGGGGGTTATATATAATCTTGTGCTTTACTTTCACCTACCAATCTCAGGCCTTGGTCAGCAATCCAAAAATTGAAGTCCGGGATGGAACCTATGGCTTCAAGCCTAAATACAACCTGAAGGACAAGAAAGCCTTACTGAGGCTGCTGGATAAGCACGACCAACTGGGCCTGGGAGGAGTCTTACTAGAAGATGTAGAGGAAGGGCTGCCCAATTCAGCCAAGGCCATCAAGGTATTAAACATTATTCAGTTTTTAGTGAAACACCACTAAGATGCCACTCGGTGATGTGCGAACACTGTGGCAACTAAACAATTAAAGCATGGTAAAGACTTCTTGTGTGATCGTTCACAGGCTTTGGGGGATCAGATCATCTTTGTTACAAGACCAGACAAGAAAAAGATCTTGTTCTACAATGACAAGCATTGCCAGTTTGCGGTAGATGAAGGTGAGTATTGGTATATCGGTATTGGTCTATCAGTAAATTGTACGGTGACATGGCTTCCTCTTTCTCTGTGTATCCGTCTTTGACCTAAACTGACTATTATGCATGCTATGCATACCCAGTTGGCCCTCACTCTGCATTCATTTCATGTAAGAATTTTCCAAGTGTGAAATTATCACCATAGAGATTTTTAAAAAAAAATGGATGTAGCTTATAAGTAATAAGCTAGTGAATTGTCTGAAAACCTCCATTCTAACTGAATGCCACCAGATGGCGATAGCTGTGGTTGCAAAAAGACTATCAGTTCTATAGAAGTCGAACTGAAATCAGCTAAAACTCTGAACATTTTCTTGTTGTTTATGGATTCAGTTATACTATGACTAAATTTTAATCATAATAAATTAAAAAATTATATTTTGTAAATCCTGGTCAAACTGTATTTCAAAACGGAGTAAGTAAGTAAAATTTATTTATATAGCACATTTCACAGATAAAAATCACAAAGTGCTTTGCAATAAGATCAGACAAACGGAGGATTATCCTTGGTACACAACTCATTGGCTAACCACTTGAGTGACCAACAACCAAGGTCCAGAAATTCTCAAGGCTACATGCTTCAAACCGGTGGGCAATCTCACAATAGCTACGTTTATGCTATCAATTTTGACTTGGGTAAGTTGTTAGAATCAACATCAAGGAAGTCTTCGTCATACATTTTCGCGAGTTAGAACTGGAACATTCATAATGATCTGAATTTCTGTCCTCCGATGTTACTTGTGGTCCATGTTGGGGGTACAGCATGCTTTATATTGCCTTTGTCTGCAACTTAAGCTATAACGTTTTTGCCAAATTTCAGTGCTATTTGGAGAGGTGGAGCATGTGCAAAGTGAAAACCAATTTGGCTTTGACGAAGATTCAGGCAACTTTACTTCAACTGTGAAATGAAATGTTTGTTGTATTAGATCTATATCAGAAGTGTTTTGTAAAACTCATATTATGCATTTCATTCAGGTCTGTGACTTGTTTGGTTAGTTAAGATTATGTGTCCGGCTCTTCAAGTGTAGCTGCTTTCAATGTCAGAATTTCAGAAGCTGTGGAGGAGTGTTCCAGTTGACTCTATAGATGAGGACAAGATTGAAGAGTACCTGAAGAAACAAGGCATTTCCTCCATGCAAGAAACGGGACCAAAGAAAGTGGTCAGTGTTTTTTTTGTTTTTTTAATTCACACACGTGTGTGTGT